CGCTTTGTGTGACAACATCAATGCGCACGCCACAAGTTGGAGGAGAAGCTCGGCCAAACACTAACATATGTATGTGCCAATCTGTTATTATTATTAATTAAAAATTGGACTGTATTGAACTATATCGTCGCTCAGCGCGTAGTAAGATTATAAATTAAATTTCCAAGAGAAATTCGGTTCTTTAAATATTTTCTAATTACCTTCGAAAATATATTAACTCAAAAAAAAAATAAACAATGCTTCATAGATCGATTTTTTTTAATCTAACTTCATAAAGTTCTTTAAAAATATTTTGTAAATGAGGCCATAAGAGCTTAGGGGGAGAGTTACAACACAAAAATACATTTAAGGCGCAGCGAAGCACGCCGGGTAATTGCTAGTTACCTTATATAGAAAGGTTTGTTATAGGGCAAAATTTAACGAAAGTAGTGGTAAAAATCGAAATTGTATATATATTTTTTTTAAATAGCGTTTACCAAAAATTTGGTTTAAAAATGGTTATAGTAAATAAGTCGTAAAAAAGCTATTAAAATTATCTTTGAATTGGCATCAATACTTTTCTAATCGGTCAAGTAGTTTCCGAGATATTAAACATATAAAAGATAGGAAAGTTGAAGTTTAACCTGTTATACTTTCTTTGTTTTTTACTTGCCCCAAATAATTTGGGTATGGTTGAAATCTGCGTGAAAAGTTCTATCGATCTACATTTTTGGTTTTTTTTTGTAGCTAAACGGTCCGTATTCTAGCTAGAATCAGCTGTTCGCATGGCAAACGAAATAAAAATTGCCAACATGTTGACAAATACATTTTGGTTGTCAAATGCTGTCACATCAGCGGCGAGGGCCGTTTTCATTTGGATGTCATTTTATATGACCGTGCGTGGTGATATATGACAACAAACGCAAATGACACCGGATGACAACCCGTTTTCATTATTTTGACAACATTTGACGTCAAATATGACCTAATGAAAACCAGGCTTTACGAACATATGTTTGTACGAATGGATGTAGGTACACGTAGCAAGCTTGCTTCATTCATATTGGGGATTTTTCGAGTGTCATATTTTTCACATTCGCGAATGTGAATTTTCGGAATGCGAATGTGCAAATGCGAATGTGAATGTTAGGAATAACATTAAAATCAACCTAAGTCATCGTTTTTATTACTTAAAAATTTTGTAAATTATTAGAACATTGAACGAGTACTTCATCTTCTTCTTCATCTTCGTCTTGATCTTGATCTTGATCTTCATCCTCATCTTCATCTTCACCTTCATCTTCATCTTAATCTTCTTCTTCATCTTCATCTAGATCTTCATCTTCATCTTCTTCTTCATGATCATCTACATCTTCATTTTTATCTTCATCTTCATCTTCATTTTCATCATCTTTATCTTATCTTTATCTTTATCTTTTTCTTTATCTTTATCTTTATCTTTATCTTTATCTTTATCTTTATCTT